CCAGAGTTCAGGCCCACAACCGTACCTCCCCCCCAAAAAAGAAAAAAGCCGGAAGTGGCACTACAGCTCAAGTGGTAGAGTGCTAGCCTTGAGATCAAGAGCTGAGGGACAGCACCCAGGCCCAGTTCAGGCCCCATGACCGGACTCCCCCCAAAAAATAAAATAAAATCAGGTTGTGGGGCTTGAGCTCAGAGCCTAGGCATTGTCCCTGAGCATTTTTGCTCAAGAACAGCATTTTTTCACTTTCAGCCACAGCACCACTTCTGGTTTTGTGATGGTTAAATGGAGATAAGACTATCACAGACTTTACTGCTCAAGCTGAACCACAATCCTCAGATCTCACCCTCCTCAGTAGCTAGGATTTCAGGTATGAGTCACTGGTACCTGGCTCAAATCTGAGACTTTCATCTCCTGAAGAGGAGCTGTGGTTCAAGTGGTAGAGTACCAGCTGTGAGCAGAAAAGCTAAGAGAGAGAGGCCCTGAGTTCAAGCCCCAGTACTGATACAAAAAGAAAAAAATACAAATAGGTAATAGGTATGCCCATTAGCATTAAATCCTAACTTCCAAACTACAGTATGTCGAGAAAGAAAAAAAAAATCTAAAAACCAAACAGTTGAAGACAAAGGAGGAATTATAAGAAATATCTGCCGGGGGCTGGTGGCTCATGCCTGTAATCCTAGCTACTGAGGAGGCTGAGATCTGAGGATCACGGTTCAAAGCCAGCCCAGACAGAAAAGTCCGTGAGACTCTAATCTCCAATTAACCACCAGAAAACCGGAAGTGGTGCTGTGGCTCAAGTAGTAGAAGCACTCGCATTGAGCTGAAGAGCGCAGGGATAGCATCCAAGCCCAGAGTTTAAGCACCATGATTAACAAAAAAAAGAAAGAGAAACATCTAGGATTAGTGAAAAACATCTAGGATTTGGAATTAAAGAAGCTGGAGTGAAACTTTACTACTTAAAAAGTTATGTGATCCTGGGAGGGGGGAGGCTGGGAAGGGATGGGAAGGGTAAAAAAAGGAGGAGGCTGCAATGCTTGGTAAGAAATGTACGCATTATCCTGCCCATGCAATTGTAACCCCTCTGTATAGTATGTTCACAAATAAAATAAAATTAAATTAAAAAAAAACAAAAAACAAAAAAAAAGTTATGTGATCCTAACTAGAAACCCAGTTTCCACACTCAGTTAAAAGAAAAATGGTAGCTATTTAATAGCTTTGATAAGATGTAGTTTCTACAATAATTATTAGTAACAATTAAAAAAAGATTTATGGGCTAGCAATAAGGCTCAATGGTATAGCAGACAGCATGTGGGATGCCCACAGCATAAAACTAACACAAAATGAACAAAATAAATGGATTTTCTATGCATGAATGCCATCAATAAAGAGCTGACAGATTAAGAACAGTTAAGAAAAAAACCCTTAGTTTTTATCTTCTTTCTTAGCAAACTCTGAAATACTCACGGTGGAGTATTTTCTCATTATCTGCTCACCTGTTTTTGTTCCTCTCCAAGACTATCCCACATAGAAGCCACAATCTTTGAAACCTCTCCAAATGTGGCATTAGGATTCTGTCCCTTGATGGCTGCCTGTGTATCACGAAAGAATAAAGCATATGCTGAAACTGGTTTCTGAGGCTCATTAGGGTCTTTCTTTTTCTTCTTCTTTGGGGCCTTCTGCTTTTTCCCTGCTTCCACTACCACGGTCTTCTGAGTGGGAAGTTGCTGTAGAGGAGAAAAGGTGGAATTACAAGACAGAAAAAGGAAGTATTACTTTTGTCAGACTAACATGCATGGAATAAAAATAGAAATAATAGTTTTTACACTCACTAGAAAAGTCATTATAAGGATCAATAAAAATAGAGGTTAAGAGGAAATAGAAAGGTAGGACCCCATATTTTGAGAAAAGCAGAGTGTGCCTGAGCAGGAGCAAAGGATACTGATTAGTAGTTGTATGCTCAAGGTATTATCTTAGAATTTCATCAGGGCAGGAATTGTTAGGGAGCATCTCACCCTCCGGAATTCCTCAACACCATCCTCATGAAGTGAATTAGTAGGTGAAGGTGTGGTTGAAAGACGATCCTCAGGTGACTGGGCAGGGGGCAAGATGGTACCACCCCCTAAGCTTAAACCAAGTTGAGAACTCAGTTCTGATTGATCAATGGTAGTCAATTGGCTATGCCCCATCAAGCCTGAGGTCATGTCTGTCATCGGTACATCAATTGTAACAGGTGGGTTGGCACTGTACTGAGTTCCTATGGAATGGTCCAAATCCTGAAGAATTAAACAGAGTTAAACAGGAACATGTAAACACAACTCCAACCCCCAATTCCACATAGCTTATAAATTCTGTTTACCCAGACTATGTCATCATTTAAACCTTACAAAACTTCAGATGTATTTGTCTACATAGAAAATGTGATAAAAGCCGGGTGCCAGTGGCTTATGCCTGTAATCCTAGCTACTCAGGAGGCTGAGATCTGAGGACTGAATTTCAAAGCCAGCCTTGGTAGAAAAGTCCATGAGACTCTTTTTTTTGTCAGTCGTGGGCCTGAACTCTGGGCCTGGGCGCTG